GTTTAATGGATGACAGAGAGTGTATACACCTACAGCATTGTGATCATTTGAGTACCATATTATAAAAATCTTTTTTTTTATACGCCATTAAATGTGTATGAGATTATTTCCCCTTTTTCGCCCGCTTTGTGTTTTTACACGCAAAGATTTGTATTTCGACATTCACCTACATATCTTTTTCCTTTTCAGGAAGGCTGGAAAATACGAATTAAAGAACAATGAAGATTACAAGGATTCGAATTATTCATTGTACGTTTTCTTTTTTTACTATACTGTACTTCATAGTCTCCTATCGTCAGGAAAGACGACGAGACGTTGCTAAACCTAGCAAGCTATCAGAAGAGTGTTTACCAATGACAAACCCGCTTGGTTAAAACTTCTGGCTGGCCAGGTCTTAGGGTCATCACAAGCCCACTACAGAGAGATTGATTTGTGGCGGTAAATAAATCTCGAAAATAAATATAACTGTAAGTTTTCGACATTGAATGCTGACCACATTAGTTTTAGTGCACTCAATTGACTGAAGGCAGTGGTATTGTTTCTCATCGAGTTTGTAGTAGCATTGGACAATAACCACACAATCCACAAAGCTGAACACAAGACTACTCAGAAAATAGATATTCAATATTTAACGCGGAAAAATACCTAACGATGGAGAAGGCGCGAAGAATGAATTGAATGGACTGGAGTTGATCGAGTGGCATGGTTCAGCCATGCAGGCGTGGTCTCTGCTGAATATTACCTTATATCTTCTATTCATATTAAATATATTGTTCCTTCTCTAGCCTAACCTTGTTCTACATCATGTATTGATAATTGATACGATACAGTGAGTTGGTGTAGTTGATGGTGTGACTTCCACGTGAGATCTTATAGATCAGGCAGTTATATCATGACAAATCTCCAATTTTAGTATTAGGTCTATTATTAGAGCAGTACTAATATCATAGTAGACCATAATTCTACAAGTTAATGAACTGTTTTGATCGTAAATTACGCATCAAAACTACTGTTTACGCTTTAATTGCATCTACCCCAGTTAGAGTGATATTGTATTGAGTGTTTCGATTTTGCTTTTGTGTATTTATTGCATCGAAGCATACTTGGTCGACTTTAACTTTGTTTATTTAGTTGAGGTTTGAGAATCCTTTTACATATCCTGTTCTTGTAACCGTTCTAGTTGATTTTCAAGATGGCTAGATCTGCCCATAAATGTGTATAACCATATTGCTTATTTCCCGTGGAGGAAGGGATGCAATGTGATGAGTGTAATAAATGGTCCCATAGGATGTACACCCGATTAAACCCCACTGCATATAAAAGGTGCTCAAAGCCCAACTCTTATTGGCTTTGAAGTTTTTGTTGTTCGAGCAAAACATTACTCATACAGGAAGCAGTTAGCCTCCGCCAAAGTCCCATAATAAAGCTTCGTCTAACATTGTTGTGAGTCACTCGCTCGACTCCCAGGACTCTGTTACAGTAAAAACTAATCGTAAGATACCAGTAGTTAAAATACAGGATCTAACGTCACGGTCGAAAACTGTGAACACAGTTTCGAAAGAAGCTAAACCTCTCCCTAGTTTAATTATTTGGAATCTAGAGGATTCGAAAGACAACGACCCTGCTAGAAGACATGCACATGACCTGCAGTTACTGGAGTCTGTGGTAAGAAATGTACTACATTAAGAGGTTTCAGGGGTAAATATTACAAAAGTAATACGACTTGGTAAATGGGTTGGAGGCGAGACCCAACCAAGAAGAATCCTGAAGCTGGTTCACGGGGAGTTTTGAAGAAAGACATATTATTGAAAAACGCACTAAAAACTCGTGACTCAAATATCCGTATTCGACCAGATTGGCCGCTTGAGGATCGAATCAAGTGGAAGAATGCTCTTACGGTTTTGAGGACTCGCAAATTAAATGGCGAAAATAACCTTACCATTAAGGGTTTTCGGGTAGTCAGGTCTTGGAAACCAATGCTTCCGAGGCCTGTATGGGTAAAACGATTGATTGCCGAAACACCTTAAGTGTGTGCTACACGAACGCTCGTAGTTTTAGAAATAAAACTTCCGAGCTAAGTCTGATGGTGGAAGAATTATATCCCGATGTAATCGTTGTTACAGAAACTTGGTTCACCGTTGATATAGACTGTTCTCCTTTCATTGCAGGCTATATCTGTATTAGAAGTGATAGAGTTTCAAGTCGCAAAGGGGGAGGTATGATATTATACGTTAGGGATCACTTTCGTATACAAGCAACTATATCGTAGGTTCATATCAGTGGCACATGTGAGGTTGCATGTTTTAAGATTAAATCTAGAAATGGGTTAGTGACTATAGGGGGAATATACTGTAGTCCGTCTTGTCTTACTGACGACTTTATCCTATGACACATCTGTTCTTGGAGTATGGCAGAATGTTCTCTCATCATTGAAGACTTCAAGGCACCGCATATCAAATGGATAGAGCTTACAGCTCCAGATAGTGGTTTCGATAGCGACCTTTTATCTACTGTTATGCAGTGTGCACTTGTACAATCTATCACAAAACCGAAACATATTGATTTCAATCATGATCCGTCACTGCTGAACCTCGCCCTCACCCACCACTGTGAGGATGTCCTTGATATTCAGCGCTTTCCCCCACTAGTGAGCAATGATCACGTTGTAATTCACTTTAAGTTTAGGACACATGGTACACAATTCGTATCTGCTCCACCCCGTCCCAATATCTGGCGAGCCGATATTCCGGCGATCAGAAACTGCACTATCTCGACTGATTGGTCCGTCGACGCGGATGGATTGATCGAAGATGAATGGAATAAGTTTAAGGCCACGTCGCCATTTATTCCATGATCAGCACGTAAGCTATCACATTGCCCTCCATGGATTAATAAGGAAACCCGGAAGCTGTTAAAGCGTAGGAAATATTTCTGGGACTTATTCTTGTTGACAGGTCATGCACCATTTAAGCGTGAGTACCGAAAATTCCGCAATATCTGTAAGAAAACCATAGCCAAATCCCGTACCACTTACGAACGACAGTTAGTATGTGATAGCCGTAATTATCCGAAACGATTGTTTTCGTATGTTAAACGGTGAATGAAACGTAGTGATGGTATTCCCTCGTTACTGTTACACGAAAATTCAGAATTACTAGCTGAATCAGATCGAGCAAAAGCTGAGACTTTTTCAAACTATTTTAGTGAAGTCTTCTCTACGTTTATTGTAACAAATACTTGTCCCACTCACACCGAGATACCAACCATTGAATCTGTACAGGTAACTGACGAAACTGTCCTTCCATTGATAACTAACTTCAAACCTGGTAAGATACCGGGCCCTGACGGGCTACATCCACGGTTGCTGTCATCTCTTGTGGACATTATTTCAAAACCGCTCGCGACGCTATTCAACATATCCCTTTCACTCGCTCAACTCCCCAGAGAATGAAAAGACGCTCTAGCCAGTCTTATATTTAAGGACGGTCAGAGGCAGATAGTATCTAACTACCGGCCTGTCAGTCTAACTAGTATAGTCGTTAAGTTACTTGAAAAGATAATTCGGGTTAGGTTGCTAAGCCGCAAAGATTTACACAATCTGTTAGCTCCTGAGCAACACGGATTTCGTAACAAGCGTTCATGCTTGACTAACTTGCTTATTGCGAGGGAGGATTGGACAGCAGCCCTAGATAACAGTCTGTCTGTCGATGTGATATTCATAGATTTTAGCAAAGCATTTAACAAGGTTTCACATGTAGGTCTTTTGCAGAAGCTGACGAGCTTCGGAATAATAGGTACTGTACATGAGTGGATAAGAAATTTCCTATGTGACCGCAGACAGAGAGTGAGGGCCAACGGAACGCTATCTGATTGGATGCCGGTCAAAAGTGGTGTACCCCAAGGCACCATCTTAGGCTCTCTGCTCTTCCTTCGCTACGTTAATAAGTTACCACTGTTACTTAGGTGGTCGACATTATTGTTTGCGGATGATGCGAAAATCTAGAGAACAATAAAAAGTGCGGCTGATCATCTGGATCTTAAAGCTGACTTAGACGATTTAGTTAGATGGGCTCGAGAGTGAGGCTTAGAAATCAATGCTAGGAAGAGTGTGCTAATGCACATCGGTCACGGTAATAGTTACCGCTACACTATTGAGGGTAAACCTCTTCCATGCGTTCAAGAGCATAAAGACTTAGGAGTAGTATTAAGTCATGACTTAAAAACAACTACGCATTGCAAACCAGCCGCTGTCAAAGGTTTTCGTGCGTTATGGTCACTTCGACGAACGTTCAAATCTTTTGACGAGGAAACGTTTCGAATTTTATATCCCACCTACATAAGACCACATTTAGAGTACTGTATCCAAGCAGCTAGCCCGTGTCTGGTAAAGGATACCAACTCCCTTGAGCGTGTCCAGCGTGTGGGAACGAAATTAGTGAAGGGTCCTTCTAGACTTTCTTACGATGAGCGTTTAAAACGCCTAAATCTTTCCCCCTTGTCGTATCGTAGGACACGAGGTGACCTTATACTGGCATTTCGTATCTTTAATTATGATTTGGGTGTTAATATATATTATCTTTTTGCTCCCTCCAGCACTAATAATCTTCGAGGTCATAGCAAGAAGGTTCACAAACCGCGATCTAATAAACTTAAGGTGGGGTCCCGTTTTTCTCATCGAGTAGTCAATCATTGGAACGCCTTACCCGAACAAGTGGTATCAGCCCCATCAGTGAATACTTTCAAGGAGGAGCTGGACCTTCACAGGAAAGCAATGTGTCAGGATTAATACAGGTTCACCAACCTACTATCCTTATTACTGAAGACTGACTGAAGATATATTAGGTGTTACTGGTTAAAGCGTTGTCAACCTCCGAATACCTGTGGCATCTTCAGTTCCTGGAAACTGTTACACGAAGCAGTGATGTCCGCACCTTTAATTGATTCATTCAAAGGAAGACTGGACTCTTACAGAAGTTAACAGTGAATCTGAAGGTTGCTTTCTAATAAGCTAATCTGAAGGCCACACATCATATGCCGAAGGTCGTCGGTATGTAACAATAATGAAAATAGTTACATGTGACGTTACTAACGTGAGTCTGTCTTACTTAATGCAGGGAAGCAAATAGTAATTGTATTGGAAGGAGCCCTACGTAGTATGAGACTGCAGAGCTGTGGATAAAACTGTTTTGTAACAACAAAACTACAATGAAGTATCTGTGAGGAAATGACAAGTCCAGAGTGGATTATGTCGAATCAGGTAAAATGCCCCAAGCAATCAACAAAAAAGAAATAATAGGGATCTTTCGTTAAAAATTGAGGGAAAACAGTAAGGCAAAGCGCCGAAACGTCTTCTTTTTCATCGGCTCCTCCTTTTCCCGTGTAGTCGGATTGGTTTTTAAGTTATGGCTTGATGATGATTTTCAGTGAATACAATAACATAGTTATGATAAGTCTGGTATGGTTTATATATAATCATGTACAGCAACAAAAGTAGGGGAAATAAAGAGAATACTCTGTTAGAAACTAAGGGGTAAACAATAGGGTAATGCGCTAAGACGTCTACTTTTCCATCGTCTCGTTAGATTTGTCTTTAGATTATGGCTTGATGGTGATTTCCAGTAAATGCCATTTAGGCTTTTTCATCACTGATATTGTCGCTAACTCAGCTTTTCCAGTGCCGACTCATCTCACTTATCTACTGAATTACCTGGTCTGAATATTCAACTAGAGGTACGTAACCAATTTATGACCTCTACTCAGGTTAATATTTTAAAGCGCTTACAAATTTTGATTGGGATATTTAGTGAAAGGCAGGTTTCCTATTTCATGAGATTTAAAGTGTGACTTCATGTCGTTGTGGTTAACCAGTCAGCGTCTGTTGATATATGTACGTCGTGTATGGAGCGATAAGACAATGTAATTTAGTCATAAGCTTTAGTAAAAGAATATTTAAATTGTTTATAAGTTTGAGATTCATTACACATATACGGTATTGTGATGTTTTAAAAATGAGTTGGTTGTGAAGAATTTCTTCACTGAATCACGTCTTTATTGTGACCTAACCTGTGTGTTTAAATTAATACTGAGTCTACCGTAAAATGTCACGTATCTGCATAGGACCAGTCCCAATTTTTTACAGTCACTTATCAACGACCGATTATAGTGATGATTTGTAGAATGAGAAGGGATTTTGTCTCGATATTTGATATAGAATGGTAATCACAACATATGCCTGCATAATAGATTGTAGATCACCAACATAGATGATCTTTGTCGAAATGATTGGAGGCCTACTCGAGTTAGACGCGAATGGTGTGATAAAGTAGCTAACGTCGAAGTCACACCTCGTGGTCAGCACCTTACGTGGACTACCCCATTGACGTATCAAGGTACCATAGATGCTTTGAAGACTGTACAACACAGAGGACGTTATTACAGAAATATATTAGTTAAGGTAGATACAAGCCAAAGTAAGACCACTAACGCATGGGCCAGTCCATGGCGTATGATTAAACTAATGCGCGTTGCTTGTACATGACCTTGGCAGGGAGCGATGATCTGTTCGACATTCAGTGGTACAACTGCCGGATGATTTGGCTAGGGCTCAGTGACATTTCACTGGCCCTACAAGATGAAATTCTCATGCTATATTTGGTACTCAAATGATAAAGAACATAACAGTTCTCCATGTACATGTGTTCTTCCTTTGAGGAATAATGTAGTGATGAATATTAGAAAGTAATTCACTAAATGAAGATTCACAACACTTATTTCAACCGAATTGTTGGTTGGACCAGTAATTAATATAGTTTAGGTAGTCACCATTCTTCGGTATCTTGTAATAAATCATTAGAAAATTTTCCAAACCTAATCAATCTAAATACAGGAATATACACATCATTATAGTCTCGATTTCGAACTTCTTTTGTAGAACATGGTTGAGAAGACTGAGGATTTGGATAATTTGGCTAATGATTTGGAGCACATTCTGTCTGATAGTTTGCGACATGTAGATGGCGAATTCAATTATGAGTTGTCTTTCACTGCTTTATCTGATCTCGATACTCGATTCATGCTAATGCTCGACAAGAGTATGATGCCTCAGTCCAACACAGACCATTTCAGACCTGTTAAGAATGCCTGGGTGAAGTTTGCCGCAATGGCCTCTGCATACGTCTACAAAAATGTTGGTGAATCGGTTTCCAAACCCCTTCGAAAATGGCTGGCGAATGCTGCCAGTGCTGCGATTCTCGCTGGACTACTTGCAGAAGTGCCTGAATCGTCGGATTCAGATGAACGGACTACTTCTGATGGAGAAAAACCTGTCGAAAATATCTCCACACCTGACAGAGTAGTGGAGAATCGTCAAGATGGTGCCTGGTACTATGGCCGTTGGACCGTTGACAATGTTGCAAGCGGTTGTGAAATGGTGGATGTGATCGATGCTGAAATGACAGATGCATGTATTCGAGTGATGATTGCTGCTGTTGTTAACTATTTCCAGGAGAACAGATTTGCTCCGTGTGGGTTGTTGAGAGACAGTTATGCAAGTGCGATACTGAGAAGTGATCTAATGGATAGGTATGGGTTGACAGACGAACGTGACAAAATTGAAGCGATGCGTATTACTGGTAGTTGGGTCTCGAAACTGTATGTGTTTCACATGGCGACGAAGCATCGTGATTTGGAACACCCAATCAGACCTATAAATAATGTTGGTTTGGTGCGTCCTCTGAAACTAGATATCAGTCAGTGTTTCGAGGACTTGACAGCTAGATTTATCCGTACACGAATCGCACATCAGATTGCCAGTCGGATGGTGCAATCTGTGTGTATAGTGTTTTTCGAAGATTTGAATGAATTGATTGAGTTGCGGAAGCTGTACCGTCAAATATCCAGTGATCCATTTTATTACCACACTGACTGTGAATATTTGACGAATTCATCTCGACCGTCAGTCAGTGACAAGATGAGTAGTATATTTGGTCGATTGGTCACCTATTTGAGTGTTTTTGAGCCGAATAGTGAACTGTTTGATTATCCGCAGTTGAAGATTAATGGTAGAACTCAAGAACAACACTATCTTGATTACAGTGAGAACTGGAAGAAGGTACTGGAGACGATTTATGCAGACTTGTGTATGTCGAAGCAAAGTAATTTATTTAGTTCATTTGTATTAACAACCAAATTTAGATATGCGTTTCGGCGAAATGAAAAACTTTTGAGAGAATGTTGGAATGAATATGGTATCGAGTCAGATATATCGGATTATCTTTTTCGATGTTCAGTGATTCGTTAGAAATTATGTTTACTCATTAACAACTCGAGATTAAAACTTTGTTATTAACAAATTGCAATATTTTTCTTTTCATTCATAAAATCTATTTATTTCACTAGTGATGTTGCTTTATGTCTTCACTTTGATTTTGTTAACATATAAGTAATTGTTACAAGCACTTTCGATGTAAGTGAACTCAAATTCAGATGATTTTAGTATTATCGATCAGAGTTTCTGAAAACTTAGTTATTAGTAAACTTATTGTTACTTTACATCTGTCATTACATTGTATTGTTTGCGTTGATTTATCCATACTGTTATGTAAGTGTAATTGTGTACAAAGTAAATATTCGATAACTTTTCATGTATTAGTATTCCATAGGATTCTCATAAATATTACACCACATCCAAGTTGCCTAAATCAACTGACTGAGTTACTGGGGCAGTGTATGACATAGCAAACCAAATCAATCATGAGGTTTAAACAAATAGTTAATCACTAATGTGAAATGGTTGGTGGAATGATAAAAACAAGGCTAATCTAAGTTTAGTAGGGTGTATATTTTCAGTATCTTTTTTTATTAATTTGATTCTTTCCGAAGCTGATGTGTAAATCTAACTAACTTGATATGCTTAAAACCTCTTACTCAGTAATAGGTGTATTTGCCCGAATGCGTAACCATCTTAGCTGCCATTTGCATATATTGGTATAACCAGAGAGAGAGAGAGAGTTAAGCATATTTCTCACAATGACAAGCTTATTCCCAGTAATAAATTCCAAAATGGACCTATTGAAATTGTAAATAGAAAAGTATGAAGTAGTTTTATAAATCATAAATACTCAGGTATCTCCAGCTCGATGCTGCCGATCGTCGGTTTATCGTTGAAAGTCATCGTCAGATAGTTTCTCGATAATAATAATCTACTGCGTGAATTTACGAAGTTTATTATTTGATAACTAACTACCGTTGCCCCTCGTGGAGCTTAGACCGAAGACCAGGATTCTCCAACCGACTCATCTGGGCACTATTTTCCAGTTGTTTTGAAATGCTGTTCATCTTTTTGATGACTGCTCCCAATTCTCTGTGTCATGTGATTTTAGTCCATATCAAATGTGAGTAACTATATATCGTGTTGTGTATGTATGCACGTATGTAGGTATGTATAACATTATGCACAAATGTTGAGATAACCATACTGACTACTATAATATTTACTCGTGTATACAGTTATATATATCATAATATTATTTGAATGAATAGCATAGAAATTAAGAAAGAAATTGAATGAACATCCATTGATTTTACCTGTTGAAATCCATTAATCTTACTTAATTTAATGTCAATAGTTGAGATCATGAGTCAATTGAAGCTAGACCACCATTGAAAACCTTGAATGTATTAAAAAAACTAAACAGGCTTATACTTCTAGTTCATTATCAATTTTATTTAAGGTATGATTTAGTGAATTAATAATAAAAATTCGAATAAAGTGGTGAAAATTAAAAGATGATGGAGAAGATTTGTAGCTCACGTGGATGATTTTGGTGTTTTGTTCTCTGAGCTGGGTGGTTTGGTCGTGGAGCTTTCAGCGTTCTTCTGAACGACATCATCAAGCGAGCTTTTCGAATCCGTGCTGAGATTTCGTCAGACGCCAACCCATTAGGGCTGATCAAACGTACAAGATAAGTTAAGTTGTCAACGCGTTCGACTACTTCATTCCTTATCAGCTGATGATGTCGTTCAGAAGAACGATGAAAGCTCCACGACCAAACCATCCAGCTCAGAGAACAAAACTCCACCAAACGTCAAAAGTAAAAATTTCTTTCATCGAATTTGTATTATCTAGATTGAGAATTTCCTCAAATATCAACAAAAAAAAACTATTGGTCTAATGCAAATTTGATCGACAGGATTCATTTAGTTTTCCGGATTAGATAACAAAAATTGATTGTTTCTAATTTATCAATTAGTTCAATATCGTTGTCATTTACTTACTGAATAGCACAATGGTAACATGTGCTCACTAGTGACTAGTTTCGTGAGGGAATTCTCGGAGTTCTAGTGAGAAGTCGTGACCAGTGGAGCTAATCCGTGTCGGGTAGAGACAGGTATCTACCTCAGTACAATGGAAGGTGGTCGCGCAATTTCGTGGATTGGTTGATGTTAGACAATAACACCATTGGATGCCGGCTCAGTGGTCTAATGGTTAAGTGCTCAGGCGCGAAGCCAGTACGTCCTGGGTTCGAATCCCGCGGGGTGCGGGATCGTGGATGCGCACTGCTGAGGAGTCCCATACTAGGACGAAACGGCCGTCCAGTGCTTCCAGGTTTCCAACGGTGGTTTAACATCAATTAATTCATGATCTCAACCAAAAACTTAACAATCTCCACAACCCCCATACTGACAATGGTAACTACTGTGATTTTATGATAACATATAACCTAAGTTTAAATTCTTATAAAGAAATCAATCTATTCAAGAGCATATAAATATTGTTAAAGATGATCAACTTTCATGAAATTTATTTCAACAATTTAATGTCAACTTCTTTCAGTTAATCAACATTATGTAATATTATTATTAGGATAATTTACTTTAGATCATTTGATCATAATAATGGATCATGATTTTAAATATTTTATTAAAATAAATTTTACCAGGTATCGGTTCTTCTGGTAGCACTAAGCAACAATGCTAAAATGTTTGGAATGTGGTTCTCTCCCTCTAAATGCAAGTTGTTGCTTCAGGACTGATCTGCGTCAACACCTATACTAAGGATAGGGAGTGAAGTAGTCAAACTTGTTGACAACTTCACTTATCTTGGAAGTCTGATCAGCCTTAATGGGTTGGTGTCTGACGAAAGCTCGCTTGACTTATGCCAAATTACGTCACCTATGGCGAAGGCGAAATATCCGTCTATCAATAAAACGACGAGTATACTGCGCGACAGCAGCGAAACATGGCGATCAAGAGTAGAGGATACTCGTAAGCTATTAGTATTTGACCACAGACGCTTCAGAAATATTGCTTGCATGTGCTGGGACCATCGGGTGAGTAATAGTGAGATCAGACGCAGGGTATTAGGGAATGATGGTGGTAAATCAGTTGATGAGGTTGTGAATCTTCATCGACTGAGATGGTTGGACCATGTGTTACATAATCCTGAACACCGACTACCACGACGTGCAATGGTAACTGGTGTTGAGAATGGTTGGAGGAAAGTTAGGAGCAGCCAAACCAAAACCTGGTATCAGTGCTTGAAGACACTAACTTCTAGTCTGTGCCATGTTCGTAGATGCAGACTACTTGGTTAGGGTCCGCGTGACTATCGTAACCAATGGTTAGAGACTCTTGGTGACGTGGCTCCGAATCGATCACAATGCTGTAGGTGTATACACTCTCTGTCATCCCTTAAACTAAGAGATTGAAATCACTTCAAACCTTTCTTTCTTCTTGTACTATATCCTTATATACAATGTTTCTTTTATATATTACCACTATTGACTTGACCACTCCTATGAATCCGGTGTTCATCTTACTGTGCTAATGCAGTATAGCAACTTGGACCGATGCATATATGTGCCTGGCGATATGTTGTAACTGACTGATTGACCAGGTATCGGTTTAATGTACATACAAACTATCTAAGATCATTCTCAATTTCCACAAGATCATTTCTAAACAACATTATATTTATATATACAAGTTTATATCTTAATATTATGATTAATTTATCATTTTGAAATGAATTCGATTGAAGATTCAATGTTTATCAATTGGATAACATTATTATTTCACTAAGTTTATGTGTTCACATATACTAATAGATTTTGATAATTAGTGAGTATACTAAGGCTAAAGTAAAACATTTAAATTCAAGTTTAACATTAAAACAATTAATTCTCAGCTAGTGAATGAATATGTGCCTCATCTAATTGATTCCCTTAATGATTGTGAATAAAGTTAAAATAAAAATTGAAGCAGAATAATATGAATTCATTGGATTTTGTGATATTTTATAAAAGTTACTTACAACCATTGATATGTAGTAATGTGTAATATTGAAGTATAATATAATGTGAAATATATGTGAAGAAGAGTAGATGGTTTCATTTCCGTGCACGTCTCAAAGAATTTCAAACTGAGAGATATAACGGCTTGAATTAATGCAGTAGCTTGATATGTAATTGATACCGGGTATACCGCTGACATTTCTCAATCCTTTAAAATTATCGGCAGACAAAACACTCCGAATCTTTCCGGTTAACCGAAGCAGTAACAACTAACAAACTTAAACCTGATTTATACATCTAGAAAGAGACAGTAATCAACTTTTTATTAATTTGGTTAACTCACTTCCTTGACTAATTTCACCTGGAACTACTAATTCTACATTTATTATTATTACTATAGTGCTTATTCTGTTATATGGTCGTCAGGCAAACTAATTGTTTTCCTCATATCAAATTTATTCTATCATCCATAGGCTTTATTTTATTCACTCAGTTCTCTAAAACTAGGTGAACTCTTCAAATCTTGTTTATTCATTGAGTAACTTATCATATCGATTTCTAAGTCTGGACAATTACCAACTCGTAACTAAACTTTTTTTGTACCTATTTTCAATTGATCTGAAACTTATGCTAACTGTTCACAACTTATCATAGGACCAATCTTATCTCTTTCCGAACTTTATTTAATTAATGCCTCCTTCTTGTTGTTTTGATGATGGCTGTAACAGTTCTTCAAGTTTTCGCTCCGTACAGTAGGACTGTCTTGACGTTTGTATTAAAGATTGTGACTTGGATGTTGACTGAGAGTTATTTTGATTTCCATATATTTTTCAATTGTAAGAATTATGCACTTGCCAATTCTAGCCTTTACATCTGCATCGGATCCTTCTTGTTCATCGATGATGCTGTCCAGGAACGTGAAAGATCCCACAACGTACAGAGTTTCTCCCTCATATGTGATTGGGTTGATGCTAATTGTGTCGTATTTGAGGAAGATGTTTTTCCTTTGTGTATACTGTCTGGTCCTGCTGCCTTCCCACTCTTGATTTATCTTATGATCATATTGATTTCTCCCATTATTTGTGAAGTAGTATCCATTGGGATGTCTAGAAGTCCAATAAGATTAGTCTATTCAGGCCCTATCCAGGGTCTGTTCATCTGTTCCAATACTCTGGAATCTGCAATTGGTTTCTCTTCCCTATTTTTCACTGTTCACTTTGTGCTACAATAGTTCTCCGCAAGTTTCTTGGCTGTATCATATAGTTGCCTCGTATTTCCTTCTGTTTTAGCTTCTTCTTCTGTCATTTCTAGGTATTGCACATATTACCGCTTAACGGCTCTGTCGCTT